CACTTGGGCTTCCAGCTGACGTTCAAGTCCTCAAGTGCAACAGCTTCGCTGGGCTCCAGCTTCCCCCCCCCCCCACACCCCCCCAAAAAAAAGAGGAATCAAATGTGCTCGGGACAGGGCTCTCTGCATTAACAGAATCTCCTTCTTGCAATCGATGGCTGTGGTTTAATGGTTAAAACTAATGGTTTTGCTGATTTTGCTCTTTTTTTTCTTTGCTGGGGTGGGATGGGGTGGGGTGTGGGGGTTAAAAATAAAAAGGCACAAATCCCAGTATTTTTCTAATTCCACCAACACACACCAACACAATGAGAGGATTTGCAGAGAGAGCGTTTGCATTTCTTTTCCCTTGGATTCAGGGATGTGGTTTAAGTGGGACTGTGTTTAAAAGTTTTCAGCTGATCTTCAGCACCAGAAGACTTTGGTGGTTTCTTGGCATTGAGACCCGCACTCTTTAATTCACTGACATTAAAACTCTCAGAGAGAGAGAGAGAGAGAGAGAAAAAAGAGAGAGGAAAAAAATACACACACACACACACACACACAAACACACACAAAACATGTGCAAAATAAAAGTTCCTTGGATGTGTCTGTGCAATGCCAGGCTTTTAGAGCTGTGTGCATACAGTGTGCACTTCAGAGAAAAGCAGTTTAAACAGAGGGATCACCATTCCCAGAGCCCTCTGCCTTCCAAGGAAAGCATTTCAAATTTGCATCCGATATATAAAAAAAAGTGAGTTAAACAGTTAACTTCTGAGTGAAAACAATCATTGCATTTGTACATGTTTCATCGAAGTCGTCTTTTTTTCGTGGCTTATTGTGAGTTTACTGTTTTTTTTGGATTTAGATGATTGGTGACTTGTTGTAACCAATTGCATGTCTTTTTTTCTCCCTCCTCCCCCCCCCCCCATTTAAAATCTGTTGCATACTTCTGTGTTGCAATGACAAATATCGTGGGGGGGGGGTAGGGAGAGAATTTGGGTAGAAGGGGTTAATGGAGGAGAAGGGGGCAGTGGGGAAAGAGAGGAGTAGGGAAGGGGGCAACAGCAGATTACCATTTGTACGGTGCCTTTCACAGTGGGAGGACGTCCCAAGGCGCTGGCGAGGGAGCAGGGCTGGGGGTGAGGGTGAAGGGAGCAGGGCTAGGAGAGTTGTGGGGAGGGGGCAAGGGGGTTGGGGCCGGAACTATATTACGAATAGCCTTCCTTAAAGTACAAGTTCAGACAATTGACTAGTCGCGGTTGTTGGGTGATGATTTATGACACAGGGCTGCCCCTTGAGGGACCTTTTATAGGGTTGTTTGGAGATCGAGGCAGCCACTATAGATCTTACTGCTTCTCGTTTCGGTAGAGGGTGTGAGTCCTCGGAGGATTTTGGTTTTTTGTTTCATTCCAGATTATGTCATCTCCAAAACTTCTTGCAAATTGTGTCACAAGGTCAGGCGATAAATCACGGGCCCTTGCATTTGTCAAAAGTGACATGAAAGTTTGTACTTTGCGGGAAGCACAGTCTGTAACACATTACAATAAATCCTGTTTGCGAAGCCACCTATTTTGTATCTCGCAAATCTGCGCTCCAACTAATGTGCAATTGAATAAGAGTGCAAGAAATAGAGGCATCCATGTAACTATTCCCTTTGAAAGCTTTGCGATTTTTTTCTGCACTGAAAAACTTGTGGAGAATTATAAGAGGCAGTTTGTGGCATCCGTGCTTTGTGCTGTTTGTAAGCTCTCTTTTGAGGATCAAATCTTCATCACTGATAGATAAGACAGCCCAAGTAAGGAGGATAAATATTCAAAAGTGCTGTGGTTTCAATAGATCCTAATTGTCCAAGAATAAAATGCTCAACGCATTTCAGTTTTTTTTAAACAAGTAAACAAGAACGTTTGCATGATTTGTAAGAGGACAGTCAGAGTCAATCCTACTCCCACTGGAACATAAGTTACCATTTCTCTTTCATTTGTTTGACCCAGTTCTTTTCTCTGTATAGATGAACAGTGCTAAGGAGATGCTGTGGATTACTGGTGATGGTTTAAGCTTTTTTTTCTCCCCTCTCCCATATGCCTAACGAGATCACTGCCCTTCAGTATTCATAATAATAATAATCCTTGTATTTGATATAGCACCTTAACTGTCTTTGAGATATCTCCAAGCTCTTCACAGAATATACTGTAAAATGAATTGACTGCATATTTTGTGGGGCGAAACCCAAAAGGTCAGCCTAGCTGAGACGCAGCATTCTTGCCTCTGAGTCAGAAAGTTGTGGGTTCAAGCCTCACTGCAGGACTTTGAACTTATACAGTCTAAGCTGACACTCCAGTACAGGGCTGGGGTGTGCTCCATTGTCAGAGGTGCCGTTCCTTGGGATGAGACATTAAACTGAGGTTCTCGCCTGCCTGTTCAGGTGGATGCTAAAGATCCCATGGCACTATTCAAAAAGACAAGAGAGTTTCTCCCTGTGTCCTGGCTGATAATCACCCAAATAAAATTGGTCACCCACTTTATGGCTATTTGTGGGAGTTTGCTGTGTGCAATTTGCCTGTTGCCTTTGCCCAGAAATATACAGTCAGGGTAAAGATCCTGTGAAGTACTTATCAAATCACATCATTAAGACATCTCAAAGCAGTGATGTGCGTTTGAGACATCTTGACAATGTCATGTGATAAGGCACTATATCAAATGTAAAGAGTATTATTAAAAACCCTTTAGAATTGGTATTGATGGGTGAAGATTGGTATTACAGTGGATACTTCTAAAGAAACCATGTGCCCAGAGGAAGTCTCAGTAAACGTGTACAAGAAGTTAAATGGAATTGAGAAAGCCAACTCAGAACCATACATTTAGATACATTGAGACAGAGGGACTAGGGGACAAAGGTTCAGGGGTGTGAAGGGGAATTTAAGGACAGACCCAGGAAGCATTTCTTACCATTTCGCTACACAGAGGATAATCAAATGGGTTGGGCGAGAGGCAAAGTGGGATTTCTGTTTTCCAGAATGTGGGTGATGTAAAACAAGCAGTGGCCATTGTATGAGTTATAGCTCGGGGCATCTCAATGCACCACTACTTTAACTAAGGATATTGCTACAATACTGGATAAGCTCTCAAATGTAGGAATGGATATATTTTCAATAAAGGCATTTCCTGCAATCTTAGGGCAAGCTGACAAAATCAGACCAGTGCTAGGCTTTGTTTGACAAAAACTGCCTGCAACAACTACAATATTGATTTGTAAAATTGAAGGGCGAATGGATAAAAATGCGGGAGAGAATCTGGAAGCCGTGTCCTGCAGGCATTGGCTCTGTGGGGAAAGAAAGTGAAATCTCTATAATGTCTAATACAGTATTTCTCATTTTGATCTGCCATCTCCAGTTCTCCCAGATACATGCAGTACCACAGCAACCCATTTCATCTGTCAACTCAGCCTGCTTAAAATCATTTCTGAGGGATCCACTAAGTTGTTAGTCTTTGACTATGCTGGGCATACAGAGCAGAGCAGGAAACAATTTAATAATAATCCTTGCATTTGGTATAGTGCCTTAGCACATCACTGAGACATCTCAAAGCACTTCATAGAATATATTGTAAAGTGAATTGACTGTATATTTTTTGGGTGAAATTCGGCAGCCAGTTGAGCCCAGTAGTCCAACAAACAGTCGAGCATTGAGTGACTAAATCATTTTTTTTTAATGGTTATTACCCCCGGAAAGCAATCCATTTACTGCAGTTTATTTATTTTAACTCAGCACTGAACCTTTTTAATAGCCGTTCGTCACTGTTGAGTTATAATAAAATAATAATCAACCTTGCATTTTGATATAGTGCCTTATGACATCGTCGAGATGTCTCGAGGTGCCTCACAGCATATACTGCAAGGTGGTTTGACTGTATTTTGTGGGTAAAAAGTAATCTGAAATTAAATCATGCTATTTTTCCGATCAACCAGCAAATTCGATAAGGACAATGTTTACTGCACTCAGTTCGGCAATTGAAGTCAGTTGTCACTCAGTTTGATGAATTTTAAAACCTGCACATCTAAAAAACATTAAAAATTATAAGCACACCTAAAACCCTGCAGCCTCAAAGTTTGTCGTAATATCCCATTCATGAATTTGTACCCGGAATGCCCATTTTTGTGGCTTTTTGGTTAATACAATCATAAAGTTGTGTAGATTTTTTTCTTTTTAAAAAAAATACTTTTTCCTGATTATCATTCTAAGGCCTGTACGTTCCTGTGAGGAGGTGTTCCATGGCAACCGAACAATAGAGAACTGTTTCAAGTCACCAAACTTAAGAACTACATCCAAAACAACAGCATCAAATTGCTTTGATGCTGTTTGGATACACACAGTCACCATGACACTGCTCTTTGACAATAGCAAATATATAACGATTCTTCTTGATGTCTTGTGTCTTTTTCTCTGCGATCATTATTCGGGGAGAAATTCCACCTGGGTGTAGATTTGCTCTGTTTATATACCGTCTTTTGAACTTCCATAATTTGGCAAATTGTTGCATTCATTTTTCTGTAAGTTCTTAAAAGCAAAGCACAGAAAACCAGGCTCGTAATCAAGGCTGTGTATTTAAGAATTTGCCCAAATCTGGACGCTCTGAAATGTTACATAAATAGAGCAATCGTACACCCAGGTGGAATTCAGTTTGTCCACAAAATAGATGGACAATGCATTTGACAGTACACCCAATGGGCGATGCAATGCATTGCATTTGACATTACATTTGATAGTGTACACAATGCATTTGACAGTACATCCTGTGAAGCGCTTTGAGACACCCTCTTGACGTGAAAGGTGCTGTCTCAAATGTAAAGATTACTATTGTTTCTCCACATCTGTTCTTATGGGAGAAATAGCTCCTCTAAATTTTTAACTTGTTTATTTCCTCAAAGCGATCCATGTTGTGAATTCGACAAGATTGTATTTAGAACAGTGAAGCACAATGTTTGCGTCTGTTTTTTTAATCTTTCTGCTTTGTTTCATTTGCAGGTAAGCTGTTCATACTATTAGTAAGAAAACATAAGCAATGGAAGCAATGCTTGACAATTGAGGTATGAGAATTTATGTACGTTTTTTTACTTTGTGAAGGGAACCTCCCATGTTAAGCACACTGTGTAAGAATGTTCAGTGCATTGTTTAGCAGTGCATATATTGATCTTTTAAATCACTGTTTGTAGATACAAATCTATAAATTTATCTGAATTTATGACTGCAGCTTTTTATAGCTGCTTTAGCGAATAGCCATCTGGATTCTCACCTCAGCACAACTCACTGCCTTAAACGAAAAGGGGAGAATGTTAAATAAATGAGGGAGAGAGAAAGAGAGAGAGAAGTACAGTAAAACTCACGTAAGTCTCATCTGTATAAATCATATAATCGTCTAAGTTGTACATCTGCCCAGGTCCTGTTCAAGAGTTTGACTTAATTCATACTTTGTAAAAAGTTTTATTAAATGTATGGTCTCAACTGATACAGATTACGTGCAGTTTACTCTATTCCAGAATTTATCCTGTGGACGAGGGACTGAGCCTGGTTTTGCTCAAACCGCTTTATTTTCTTCTCTCTGTTTGCACACTATTCAAGTCAGTGCTGTCATCTCACAGTCTGTCAGTGTCCCGAGCTGACTTGCTCTGAATATGGTGTGGTATCTGTGGTTTGTGAATTTGTCTGGACTGGCCCGCCAAGCCCAAACTTTGGCCAGCCTCAAACAGGCACCGTTCCATCTGTTCGTCCATTTCGATTTTGTTTGTCACATTACATTAGCTCATTTCCTTTTATTCTCAGAGAAGTTATTAGCTGATCAGTTACATTGCTTCTATTTAACACTTGTTTCAGGAAGGTACAATGGTGTAATGTACTTGCAGCTTTTTCCTTTCATTTTACTGCTCCTTCGGGAACCCAAGGTTCTGTAAAATTGTGGTGCAGCTCTGCTCTATGAAACTGTAGATAGCCACTCCAGTTTTACTTTTGACCTCACACACCTGTGTTCTGGCAGTAGGAGAAAGATTTGTGGGCAACTAATTTATATTTCTCTGTGAATGGCTTGTGTCAGTTACATGCAGCAACTCGTTCATTAAAGGATGTGTATTCTGCTGATTTGTGTTTTTGCTGGAGAAATTGCTTGTCCAAACCTTGTACTTGTTTATTTAGTTCAAAAGTTCTTCCCTGTTGTTGAATGTTATAGTTTGTATTTGGAATGCTGAAATGCAACCTTTCCATATGTCTTAAAACCCTCTGATTCTAACTGTTAACTCCACTCTGTATAAAAGTGACACTTCTTGGTATTGGTCCTGAAATTCCCCCTCACAGTTCTGAACCTGCACTCTTTTGCTCTACTGCCTTACCTTATCTGAGAGTATTGCTCTTGGTTTATGTTCCAAAATCCAAGTTGGTGCCTGGTATATACCTTTGTATGTATGGTCCCCTGAGACATCTCTTTTCAAGGCTGAAAAGCCCTAGCGTATCTAACTGTTCCTTGTAGTCCATCCAACGGTCCCTTCGCCTCCCTTCCTCCCTTGCCTCCTTCAAGGCCGGTCTCAAAACCCTTCTCTTCGACTATGCCTTTGGTCTTCCCTCACCCCTACACCACCCCTCCCCCACACTCGGGCCCCGACACCTGACTGTTCAGGACTTTGGGACGTCCTCCCGACGTGAAAGGCGCTCTATAAATGTAATTTTGTTGTTGTGTTGTCGTAGTTCATCCCACCAATGCTGGGGATCATCTTTGTGCTCTCTCCTACCCTTTACATGTTTCTAATGGGCATACATATCATGATTGACAGTTTTCGAGTTTACACAGTTAAATGTGACTCAGAGTAGTATATCTGCCTCGCCCAGTTAAAACAAATATCATCTTAGCAACGGAGGATTGCTTTTGCAAATCCTCTCCTTCCTCTATGAGCGAAAGAACAATTGTTTTGTTTCCAGTGAAGCCTTCAACCTATTTGTTTTGGCAAACTTCAGGTAGCCATGAAATAAGATAGACCAGCTATGCTATTCTTCAACAGAGAGGTTTGGTGTCGTGCAAAGCTTAATGATCATATTAAATAATAATCCTTACATTTGGTACAGCACCTTTCATGTCAGGAGGAAGTCTCAACGCGCTTCACAGGATTTACTGTAAAGTGCAGCAATTTCAGCAACTCTATTTTGTGCACCTAGTATTTTGCACCTTATTGTAGGCGAATGTGTCAGCCAATTTGCTCGCAGCAAAGTTCACTCAAAGTTTATAAGCATTGCACCACTTTCTTATCTTATATTCTAGAATTGGAGAGTGACAGCAATAAAAGATGCACACTTGGAAGGTGGGTGATGCTATTAGCTCACACTGGAGGAGAAGGTAGAAGAGGATCATTGCCATACATTGGGTAGCCCGAACTAGTGAATCCTCATTAGTTTTATGCAACCAGCTTGAATTTTGAGCTGCTGTTTCTGACCCTGTACCTCGCTCCTGATTTTGACCAGCTATCCTGACGTTTCTGGGTTGATCACACCAAGTTTGCATCCCAAAATCTTGACTCAATGTTACCAAAGAGGAGGCAGCCTGAATTCTGGCAAGTGCTGTATAACCACATCGAGGAGCAGCCTCACACTAAAGTACAATCTGTCTGCCGAAATGTTAATTTTCTGCTTTTTTTAGGCGGAGCCACTTAATGTTCACATTTTTATGCCAGTGAAGAAAACCATCAGTGCCTACATTCAACTACTGACGTTAAAATACTGACGTTAATAATAATAATAATAATCCTTGCATTTGATATAGCGCTTTTCACGTCGGGAGGACGTCCCAAAGCGCTTCACAGAACACACTGTAAAGTGAATTGACTGTATATTTGTGGGCGAATGCGGCAGCTACTTGCGCACAGCAGTGTCCCACAAACAGTAAATGGGTCACTGACATTCAGACTGTCTGAAATGTGACAGGAGCTCGAAGTAAACACTCGTCGTGGTGTCAAAGCAGAGCCTTCAGTAAGAAGGGAACCAAAAGTATCATCTGCTCTGAAGCAGACTGATAAGAGTTGAGTTTTGTGGCTACCTTGTGTCAGTCTGGCTGAATTGGTAGCACTCTCGCCTCTGAGTCAGAATGTTGTGGGCTCAATCCCCACATCAGGACTGATAATTTATGTAATTTAAGCTGATACTCCAATGCAGTGCTGCTGTCCTTCAGATGAGATGTTAACCCAAGGTCCTGTCTGCCTGTTCAGCCGGACATTAAAGATCTTATGGCACTATTTGAAAGGAGATGGGATTGTTCCCGGTGTCCTGGCCAACAATCTTCCATGTTTACCTGCAAAACAAACAGTCACTCCACTTTACAGATTATCCTGTGAAGTGCTTTGAGGCATCCTCCCAATGCATAATAATCCTTACATTTGATGTATCAAGACCTTGAGACGTCTCAAAGCGCTTCACAGGGTATACTGTAAAAAGGATTGATTGTGTATTTTGTGGGTGAAATACGGCCAGTTGCGCACAGCAATGGCCCACAACAGCCATGGAGCAAGTGACCAATTTTATTATTAAATATACCTTGCTTAACTACTGTAATATTACATTCTTACCTACAAACTAAGACTGTTTGTTCCAGCACTAATGTTTAGTGGGGTGGGGAAGCAATGCATGTTCAATTCCTAATTTTTCTTGATTCTGAATCACAGTTCTTCAAAAGGCAGTTAAAAAGAATTTGAAAGCAAATCATTTCCAAATTGAAATACAGTGAGGTATGAGAGGAAAATTTTAAGACAATGACGTTAAGATTCAGAAGGGAAGTTTGCCTACAAAATCCAGTCACTTTACACTATGAATCACTCTGAGACATCCTCCCGACATGAAAGCTGCTAGATCAAATGTAAATGTAAGGATTATTATTATTAATGATAATTCTGAGCCTCTAGTGTATAAAGGGGTGATTGCCACTTCTGGGATTTGAAATGTAAGCAAAGTTTGCTACTCAACACCTCATTTATTTAACAATGACTTTGATCCTCATGTGTCTCTTTTCCAGCTTCATCTCCAGTCACAGTTCTGTTCTGGCTCTGATCCGAATAAAACTCAGCCCAGCATTCACTCTCGCCTAGCTCCCAAAGTGCAGAGATCCGAAAGGTAACTAACTCTTTGGTGCAGCAAATGTCCAGCGTTGCAAAAACCCAAGAGGTGGCTCGGTTACAGACCTAGCCATAATATCTGTCTATGGCAGAGACAGTGTTGTTGGCTTTCAGGAAGCCTTCCACGAGCCACAGCTCATAATGTTAAATTGAACAGGAGGGGGTGGGGGGGTGGGAAAAACCTTTGGCGTTTTGCCCAATAACAGCAACCTGGATTTGCTATCATGTGAGATCGTTCAAAACTTAGTGCACAGTACCTCCGACCCTTGCTAAAATTCAGTCTTCAAGCTCTGTTCCATTCAGGCCCACGTCACAACCATTGTTACGCCTTCACAGATGTGTTCTCTGAGAACAAATATTCTTGTCTCCAGTTTCATGGACAGGAGGGGAGTGGGGGAGTGTGGGGTGGGGGAGAGGATGGTGGGTAGGAGGGTGGTAGGGGCAGATACTGAGCTGCACTCTTCCACATTCAACTCGTGCTTGGGTCCAATATCTGGTACTTCAGAATCTTCTGACTGAAGACTTTCCTCTTTGACCACACCATCCATCGGTCACCATTCCCAACAACAACAAATTACACTTGTATAGCATCCGTCACCCCATGTCCCTCAGCTTGCACCCAGCTTGGGTGCCAAACCAGGACCCTCAAGCGCTTGGGATGTCCTCCTAACGTAAAAGCTGTTTTATAATTGTGAATTTTTATTGTATTGTCCACTTCTTTGTGAACCTGTGGCTCACTGACTGTTCTGCATGTTTATCATGGGAGAGGCTTCTGGTCTGAGCCAGCTGAGTTCAAGCAACGGTTAATTGGCAGGCATATCTAATATGACATGAGGGCTTAGTGGTCCATCGACCACGATCACAATTGCTGCCTAAGGTAGTCTCTGACTTTCATTTGCAGCAGGAAATTACTGTTCCTTCCTTTGCAAGAGACTGATGAGAAACAAAAGCTCCACTGTATGGATGCTAAGGAACCTCTGACCTGCTCTTCTGGCAGAACAAAGGTGTTTCTCAGATCTCAATAGCCTTTTGTATCTTATTGGGGGCAAGTAGATCTGGTGTAGAGGTGTGTGCCATTTATAGGCTACCACAATGGTCAGTCGAATGTATTTTACTTTTATCACTTAGCTGTTTAAAACAACAACACTTGCAACTTGTATTTATATAGCACCCTTTACGTGGGGTAGCATCTTGAAGCACTTAAAACTTGTAGGTGAAATTTATCGTAATTAATAATGATAATCCTTATATTTGATATAGTGCCTTTCACATCGGGAGGATGTCTCAAAGCACTTCACAGGATAAAGTGGAGTGACTGTGCATGTCATGGGTGAACACAGCAGGCAATATGCATACAACCATGATGCCCCACAAACAGCCATGAAGTGAATGATCACTTTTGTTTACAGGGAGTGTTAGCCAGGGAACCGGGGAGAAACTCTTTTCTCTTTTTGAAGAGTGCCACGGGATCTTTAACGTCCACCTGAACAGGCAAATGGGACCTTGGTTTAACATGTCATTCACTTCTATGCACCTCCAACAATGCAGCACTCCCCCCACAGCACTGCATTGGAATGTCAGCTTAGACTATATGAGTTCTGAGTCCCAAGATGGGGTTTGAAACCTCAGCCTTTTGACTGAGGCAAGATAATAATAACAATCCTTGGATTTGATATAGAGCCTTATCACATCTTCGAGACGTCTCAAAGCGCTTCACAGAATATACTGTAAAGTGAATAGACTGTGTATTTTGTGGGCAGAACGCTACTGACTGAGCAAGGTGAGAAGTGGGAAGCTTGCCAGACATTGCTTTCAATGGCAAGTGATGTAATTTTAGCTTGTTAGCCTCCAGCAGTAGCCCGACACAAACTCTATGGTTCCTCCCAAGCCTTGGCTCTTGCCAAACTGCACCTAAACCTCTGGCGTTAGGTAACCAGAGTGTGTCCCTCTAGGGAGAGCGTGCATTCCACTGCAGACAAGAAAATTTCCAGGTGTCGGTTGCATACACAAGTGCAATGGGTGGTGATGGGTTTCAGCACGTGTCAGAAAACTTGTCGGACGCCAATCCCCAGCTGGGTTCTGGAACCTCCTTTGGCTCCGAATTAAGCTTACGGTTGTCAGAATTGAGAGAGCACTTAAGCGCAACTCTGGCCCAGCAGGTTCCCCTGTTTTTTAATTACTCCTACAAATCCAGCGAGTCAGACCTCAGATTGTCATTAAATTTGATGCCTCCTGGGGAATTCGATTCGATGGCCAATTCCGAACCAAATGTGCAAATAAACGGAGCTAGTGAGTCACTGCAGCGATCAGTCTGATTTTAGGGACAGAAAGGTTATTGTAGTTCTGAATTCACATGGACTTAATCTTTATTATAAGTTCTTGTGGAGAATGTTTGTGCTTGAGAAAAGAAAGAAATAGATTTTAATGTAACGAGAACATGTAATTTGGGTCGATTGAGTCTTGGCTCAGCATGGAAGTATTATGTCAAGCAAAGTCTGACCAAACCTCTTGTACTTTATGGTGTTATTTTTAAATGTGGGTTGGGGTGAGGTTTAATTTTGTAGAAGTTTCAATGATTCCCTTGTAAATTGCAGTGCTTGTTTGCCACAGAATGGAAGTATTGGTTTTAATGCTAAAATGTCTCTGCCTATTGAGAAACTAGTTTTGATTCATGTCGGTTAACTGACAACGCTGCTATAATAATAATAATAACAACAAAATTACATTTATTGAGCGCTTTTCAAGTTGGGAGGACATCCCAAAGCGCTGAACAGTCAGGTGTTGGGGCTCGAGCATGGGGGAGAGATGATGTAGGGGTGAGGCAAGGCAGAGAGGTGGGAGGGAAACCAAAGGCGCGATCGAAGAGAAGGGTCTTGAGACCGGTCTTGAAGGAGGCAAGGGAGGAAGCGAGGCAAAGGGACCGTGGGTTGGAGTTCCAGAGTGTGGGGACAGAGAGGCTGAAAGCTCAGCCACCGATGGTAGGGCGGGTCGGGCGGGAGACATGGAGCAGACCGGAGCCCACTGAATGGAGTGAGCGGGCAGGTTGGTAGGGAGTCAGCAAGTCAGAGAGGTAGTAGGGGGCAAGGTCATTGATGGCCTTGAAAGTGAGGACGAGGATCTTGAATTCGATCCTCTGGGGTATGGGGAGCCAGTGGAGTCAAGGGAGGGTGGCAGTGATGGGGTCGCAGAGCCTACTGTGTGAGAGTACATGAGCTGCAGAGTTTTGGATGATCTGTAGCTTGTGAAGGGAAGAGTTGGGAAGGCCGATGAGGAGGGAGTTTCCGTAGTCGAGCCTTGATGTGACGAATGCGTGGATGAGGGTTTCGGCAGCCTGAGGGGTGACAGTTCAGGGTCGAACAAGATACCCAGATTCCTGACTGGCTTAGTGAGATTGAGCGTGCAGCCATGAGGGCTGATGCTGCCAGCACCTGAGGTGCGGAGGCGCTGGCGCGAACCAATCAGAAGAGCCTCGGTCTTGTTGACTTTGAGTTGGAGAAAGTTGGCCCTCATCCAGGACTTGATAATAATAATTATTGCATTTGATATTGCACCTTATCACATTGTCAAAAAACGCTTTATATGATTTGTTGCAAAGTGTAGTGACTGTATTTTTTGGTGAATGCTGCACATAGCAATGTTCCACAAACAACCGTGAAATGAATGGGCAATTTTATTTGGGAGATTGTTGGCCAGAACTCTGGGAGAAAGTCCCTTCTCTTTTCGAATCGTGCTACGGGATCTTTAACCTCCACTTGAACAGACAAACAGGACTTTGGTTTAATTTCTCATCTGAAAGACATCTTTCAGATGAGACATTAAACCAAAGTCCTTCTGACAATGCAACACCAACCCCTCCACCCCCCACGGCACTGCATTGGAGTGTTAGCCTAGACTGTGAGCCTAGACTGTAGAGTGCCTTTTACCTCAGAAGAATGTCTCAAAGCTGCACTGGGGATTTGTAGTGAGTTGCTCCACTTTCTTCTGTGATCTTTGGATCACTCACTGTGGGTGAGAATGCAGAAAGCAAGCTCCTACTCCTCGACCAGTGGTGCTACAGAAGGGAATCATGAGAGCTGTTGAGCCTTTTCCTTTGATTTGCAGGGTAATTTGTCTAGCCTTTGCTTGGCCAGGCAAATTACCACAGGAGCAGACCCACACTCAGTTGCACCATGTGTAATCAATAATAATAATAATAATAATCCTTGCATTTGATATAGCGCTTTTCACGTCGGGAGGACGTCCCAAAGTGCTTCACAGAACACACTGTAAAGTGAATTGACTGTATATTTGTGGGCGAACGCGGCAACCAATCAACAAAATGAAACAGGTTGCCAGGAAAGGTAGTTGACCCCAGGATAGAGGAACACAGTTGAAAAGCAGCCTGATGCTCTGATGAGAGGTTGGGTATTCTGGAGGGATGAGATCAGATGGGTTGAAGGGCTTTCTTCATCCAAACCAATCTTGTGACCAACCAATCTTTTGACCACTGATCTGTCGTTGTTTCATGCCTGTCATCTTCGTGCCTTGCTTTATTGACGCCTGCAGAAAGCCATCGCCATACTTAAGGGTATCCAAACTAAACTGAGAATTCCATGCAAGCAAGAAATTCCCGAGATATTTATTGGAAAGGAATGTGCACTTTCTCCCTGGAGGGATGCATCCTGTTACCCAAATCTGGAGAGTATTAGGTACAGGTTGGCAAGGAAACTAACCAGCGCCACTGATACTAAGAACAAATCTTATGAATAAATTGCCCATATTTGAAGAACAAGTTGCTGCAACATTTTTCAAACCTGTTTGTTCGTAGAGTGAATACTGGGACATTAAGCCAAAGTGCACCAAATTTCTTCCAAGAATAGCAGGTCAGTATGGAACATGGAGTGTCTCAACAAAATTATAGCCATTAATAGGAAATAATTATTTGTGGGCAGCAACAACTAATGCTGGGAAAAAAAATCTTGGGTCAATTATTTTTTAGTCATTTATTGCATCTATTTT